AGAGAATGTGCTTATGCAAGCCAGGAGGGAATGGGAGAGGAAGAGAGAATCTTAAGCAAGTTCCACGCCCATCGTGGAGCCCAATGTGGGGCTCCATCTCAAGACCTAAGATCATGACCTGAGCCAAAATCAAGAGTCAGACGCTTAGCTGAAGTGATTTTCTGACTATCAAGTGTAAATGACAAACTTCCCATTTCTCGACATATTTCCTCCAAACAAAACACTTTTCTCCTCAGTAGAGTTGCCTTATAGCACCACATTCTAACCAGCTGAGCTAACCGGCCGCCTTTAGAGTTGCCTTATAAAACCATGTTGTAATTAGGCCATTGTAAATGTACTATTGTATTAATATTGCTATACTGAGCTTATTTCTATGGTGTTAATTTTATATGTTTTGAATACATGAAGGGAGGAAGGAAGGGAGACACTGATTTTTTCAGAAATCAGTTTCTGATACTCTCTACTATCAGCAAGAAAGAACTATTTCCACTAAAGTTAAACCTATGGCTTTAGGTAAAATGTGCTGAAATACTAAAGCAAAATATAATTTTATCCTTAATAATGGTATAATGCTAAGATCACCCATAAGATATGATTATTTTTATGCATAGTATTTATTCTTAATCACTTTCATAAAACACAATCTGAGTTTTATTTTTTAACAAAACCTTTTGAGTCATTTTGATAAGGTCAACAGAAAGCACAATCTTTTAACATTAGGTGATCAACTTTTTGACAATCACAGGACCAGCATAGCTAATGGAATAATAGCCTGCAGGGTCCAGCTAAATATGATATACGAAGGTAGTCAACCTCTGTGATGACTATTCAGAAGTAATCCCTTTAGCTTTGAACTGCAACATATATTTCAACAAGGCAAAAACCATAGGAAGAAATTCTCTGCAGACCGCACTGATACAATACAGCCTTCATATCCTGCTCTATATGCTTGCTGCTTATAGTGAGTTTTAAATTTAAGGTAATGACTACTGTATATTCATGTGAGCATACAACAATACTTTTGATTTGTTGTGGAAAGGTTGAATCCATTACCAGGGGTCTAGTCTATAAACTCTGATACAACCTTTATGTATGAGTTATTATTTACCCTTTTCTAGAATAAGGCCACTAAAAATGTTTTGCATGCTAAAATTATAAAAACTCATTTACCTTCTCATTCTCAAAAGTGCTAGTCAGTGTCTCCTCCATTTTAATTCACATTCCTCTACCAGTACATTTTTAAAATCACATTTGTATATAGTACTGTATTATATGAAAATTACACTCCATTGTTTTCAAGGGAAGTGATGGGATTATAGATTGATTGCAATTCAGCATTTGCTGACTTACTCTGTGGTTCTTTGGTACAGTGTAGACTAAGTGGGGGTATAAATAAGATTCTTTTGTTGTCCACCTGAGGGAATCAAGCATTGGAGAGTCTACTATTAGCAACAGAAAAGTGCCTCTTTCTACTGAAATGGTAGACAGTATAAGCAAATATCATACTCTCAAATTTGTATTGATTCTGGTCTCCTTGTCGGAGTGGTAATGGTCCCAGTTTTCCAGCTTCCTTGAAGTCCTACAGATCAAACATCACAAATCACATTCTAAGTCAAACCCACAGTACAAAACCTAGATTAGGAATCAAAATGAATGCTTTTGCAATAGTGTAACCAAGAACAAATAGTCCCATGGTGCTCTTCTTGTTGCAAATGAATAGAAGTATCAGAACACCTGAATGGTGAGTTCAAGTGTTCCCCGGTATAAATGAATCATTGCTAAGGTTTCCCAGCACAGAGAGAGTGTGACTGTCTTTTATTTAAACAAGCAACTGTGGCCTAAGTTTGGTAAAAGAATAGCTACAGATACAGCTATTCTTCCCAGAGAACCTACTTGGGAAATTATCCCAATAAAAATCACCTTTCCTCAACATCTGGGGAATGAATGCAAAACAATTATTTGAGACAAACCAGGCATAATTTTAAACTTGGAAAATCCAGAAAAGACTTTCCCAGCTTAAGAGATATTGTTACATCTTGCCAAACCAAAGGGAATGCTGAGTTTAAGACATTACACAATACAAAATTGGTATAAGGATGTTAGGATGTTCTATATATTGTCATACAATGACAAATATTAAACTGAGAAAACCCAAGGTAGTTCCTTACCTAAAAGAATGATGTTACTTAAGGTAAAGGCTAAGCTCCTGTTTCAAAGAGTCCCCAAGGTACAGTAGCTTAAAAATACACAAATTTGTTTCTTCCTTAAGTGAGCAGTCTGTGTACACAAGGTAGCTCCACAGGTATTTAGGGGACCATGATCTTGTGCTCTGTTGCTCCACCATCCCCTGGAGCCGGGCTTCTCAAAATTGCACTATTGAAATTTTGAACTGGATGATTTTTTTGTCAGTGAGAGGGCTGGGGTACAGCTGTCATGGTCACTGCAGGATATTTAGCAGCACCCTTGGCCTCTACCCCATGGATGCCAGTAGCATTTCCACCTACAAGTTGTAACAATGAGTAAGTTCTCCAGACTATTCCAAAAGCCACCGTGGGACAAAAGCACTCCATAGGGTGTTGTCATTATCTACACATTAGAAACTGAATCATCGGGGTAATGGCTCTATTGTCCAAGATTGAGGAAAACGGAAAATTTAAGAAGGAATAAATGCCCAATGTCTAACACTCAGACCCAGAAGCAGTGTGTGTTACTTTGTTTACATTCACTGGTGAGAATTTAGTCATGTGGGTTCAACTAAATATTTATTTGCTGATAAGGGAGATCTAATGGCGGGGGAGAGGAGGGACTCTGGTAAGTTGGAGGCAGATAGAATTACTGGAGCCATGTCGTGTGGGCAAGAAATGGTGAAGTCTGGGGTTAGCCTTAGATGGGAGCATAGGTAAGATAGAGCATATAGAACAAAAACAAGTAGGAAAGTAACTGTTAATACAGAGCTTGTGGAAGTTTTTTTCCTGTTGTCTTTTATTTCCTCCATGAAACCAGGAAATACATCATCAGCTGAAAACAATGATCCATGGGCAGGGTTAGAGGTTTGGGAAAATAGAAAGAGCTAAATAACCATCTATGGGAGGAGAAGAATGAATAGACCAGGAATGTTTAATAGGATGGCTAGCTAATGTTTATGGCTATGAATTTAAAGTGAGGCTTGGCTATTCATTTTTCCTGTCACACTGAGGTATATAGTACAGGATAGGAATAAGGAGACAATTGGATTTATCTAGGATTATAGTTTTGTCAAGTGAATATGATGAAGTGGGAAAAGGGTCATGAAGTCAGGCTATATGCAAGGGAGAGAAGGGCCATAGAATCTAAGTTAAGTAAGGGAGAGGGGGATCAAAATGGGGAGGAACAATGAAAATGTGGCAGGACTGGAAGTCCCAGGGAAGGAGATGAATTACTGGTGTTAGGGAACTAGAAGGAGTGATCTAGAAAGATAAAGCTAGAAGTCAAGTCTTTGAATGTTGGCAACTGAATTTGAGGGGGGCTTGAAGTTATTGCTAATGATGGGGTCTAAGTTTATCCACAGGAATCAATGGCTACAGTAGGGTGTGGGACCAGATCTAGAACAGCACTCAAGGAATTGAGATCCAGGGTGAAGAATCTTCTGCATGGACATTTAAATTGCAAAATGAAGAAAGTGGTAGTAAGGTACAATGAGCCAATGATAAAAATCAACTGAGAAGGAGCCTTGTTGTAGGTAAATCACGATAGTTGACTGTATAAACTGATGACTGAGTTTTAGGAAGGGAAGGAAAGAAAGTGAATGTCCTGGAGGGAAACAGTAGGGTGTAAGCAGGACACCTATCCATCTCCAGGCCCAATGGTAGCAAGACTGACAAAAAGAAAAGCAAAATAGGCTGCTGGGTTGGAGGTGTCCTCTGAGGACAGCCACATTTCTGTTAGAGCAAGAAAGTAATGGGAATTTTGGAAAATTGAATAAGAATACAGAGGAAATGTTTCAGGAGTTATGGTAGGAGATGGGGACAAAATACAGAGCTTTGCAGAAAATAAAATATAGGAAATGAAGGGGAATCTGGAGACCAAGGCCTGTGATAAGCAAGAATAAAGAGAATATTATTAGATTAATCCCAATGGATTCAACTCGAAAGTTAAAAGGACAGATACGAAACTTAAGTACAAAATTAACATGCCTATTTATACGTATAAACTTCCCATATCTGATTTAATTATTTGGATATTTTATATTGCTCTCAATTCATTTTCCTTCCAAGTGTTGTTTTAACAAATCATTTTATCCCTCAAAAGGTAGCTATTATTGTTACCATTTTACATGTATCACAAGAATTCTGTGGGTTAGGAATTCAAGCATGGTTTGAATGCTAGACTCCAGTTGAGGTCACCCAATGGTGGTGGTCAGCTGACAGGTGGGCTAGTTTGAGGTTCCAAGACAGCTTCCCTCACAGACAGGAGCCTTGGAGGGAGGGCTGGAACTCTGGACTCAGCTAGAACTGTCAACTGGAGCATCTTCTATGGGACCTCTCCAGAATGGCAGGGTGGTAGGGTTTATTATATGGTGACTTGCTCCCTCCAAAGCAAGCACCCCAAGAGAACCAGAAGGAAGCTGCACAATCACTTCTCAGCCTTTTGGCTAAGATCAAGTGTAGAAGGAAGCTGCACAGCTTTTTCTGACCTCACCTCAAAAATCATGTAACCACTCTCACAGCATTCTAATGATTACAAAAGAGTCTTAAGCCTAGCACAGATTCAATAGAAGGTGAATTAGATTCCACCTCTGGGTGGGGGAGTGACAAGTTCATACTGTTGAGGAACATGTAAAGCAGGAAATATCGTGGCCATCTTTGACCAATATACTCTGCCTTGGTGACACAAACGATACATACAGTTCTATCATACAGATGATAAGGGTAGATACCTCTGAAAACAGACTCCCAGTAAATTGTAAACTGTAAATTGTATTGGTGACAAACAATTAAATGTATACATCTTTTTCCCTGTAGGAGAACCTAGAAAATCCACAGTGGAAAGTTTAAGTCAAGACCCAGAGAATTTGGAAGAAGAAAATAGTAGGTATGGTAAATCAAGTAAAAAGTTTCTGTTGCATACAAATTAGGCAAGAGGCTACATATAAACTGTTTCTCCAAACATAAGAAGAATAATTTCATCTAGTACTTGATAATACTGAAACACTATATTTTAAAAAATCACAGATTTACTTTTAAATATCATATAATATTAAGTGTTTTTTATCTTTTAAGCTATGTCTGAAAATTACAAAATAACTAAATGTCTTTCAAGTGAATGTTTTTTACTTTCTGCCTCAATGTAAAATTAAATTTTGTAATTTATTTGTTTCAGATTTCCAGATAATCAAAAAAATGAGACTTAAACCAGCTTTGGACTCATCAACAAAGCAAGAAGAAATTTATCATGTCACCTTCATCTTCGATAACTGTAATAGGAGTATGTTACAAGTAATACAGATAGAATTATAATAAATCTATGATTATGTTTAGATTGGATTTTGTATTGCAGTGTACTACCACAAATTTAATCTAAGTCATTTAAATTCATGAAAATAATAATACATCTCAAATGCTTAGAAATATCAAACAATTATTCTTAGAACAAATTGTAAAATTTCCCTTTTATCCACTATTCCACAAGGAACAGTGTTATTATAGAATCAAAATTTGGTTATATCTAATGAGAAAATCATTTTAAACTTAAGGAAATCTATGCTGAATAAATACGGGAAAAATATTTATTAAAATTTCAGGAAGCTTTTTCAACATAGATGAAAGGATTATAAGCAGTAAAGACTCTCATATTGTACCATTCAAATTAGTTTCCTTTACAGAGGTAAAGCAAACTTTACCTCTGGAAAGGAGACTTCTGTATCCTCTACTCACACCACTTCTGACACCAAACACACGACATTTTACACACCAACCAATTCTCCAATTCTCAATAATAGACTGGGTGTCTTACAATTTAACTCAACTCTGACACTAACTGCCAGGAATTAGCACAGATCCCAGATTAAGGAATCATTTCACAAAACTGGTTCCCACCACAAATCCAACAAATCCCAGAGTGTCACCTACACTCTGACTGACTTGGTTACAGACTAGGGATTCCCACAACCTCCCTTCCTTAACATCAAAAATTTGCTATATCAGCTCCTGGAACTCAGGGTAAGATATTTACATTGCCAGTTTATTATGAAAAATACAATAAAAGATAGAGATAAGCAGACAAATAGAAGAGATACATTGGCAAGATATGGGAGAGGGGGCCTGAACTTCCATGCCCTCCCTGGGTGCATCACCCTCCCAGCACCTCTGTGCATTCACCAACCCAGAAGCTCTCCAAATCCTTTCAGATCCTGGGGTTTGTATGGAGACTTCACAACATAGATATGATTGATTAATCATTGGCCATTACTGATTAACTCTCCAAAGGTCAGGGGATGGGGATGAAAGTTTCAATCCTCTAACCATGTGGTTGGCTCCCCTGGCAACCAGACCCCACCCTTAAGGGCTTTCCGAAAGTCACCTCATTTACATAAACTCCAGTGTAATTGAAAGGGTCTTGTTATGAATGACAAAAGATGATCCCTTCACCTTTATCATTCCAGACCTATTTCAGGAACTGGGGACAAAACCAAAAAAACAAAAGCAAAAACAAATATTATAACAAAGGATGTTCCTTTGACCTTTAGCTCTCTAGAGCTGTTTATGGAACCAGGGAAAAACCCAAATGTTAATTTATTGTATTATATTAGGAGCTCCATGCTAGGAATCAGGGACAAAGACTAAATATATATTTCTTACACTATTACAACATTATACTGTGTAGAACTATATTTTACGATACTTTTAGCTGATCGTATATAGTTGACCCTTGAACAACACAGGTCTGAACTGTGTAGGTCCACTTATATGTGCATTTTATATATATAAATATAGTACAATACTGTGTATTTTGTCTTCCTTATGATTTTCTTAATATTTTCTTTTCTCCAGTTTATTTCTCTCTAGCTTAATTTCTCTAACTTACTTCATATAATACATATAACATACAAAATATGTTTTAATCAACTGTTTATGTTATCAGTAAGGCCTCCAGTAAACATTAGGCTATTAGTAATTAAACTTTGGAGGAGTCAAAATTATATGTGGATTTTGATTGGGGAGGGGATTGGTGCACCTAACCCCCACTTCATTCAAGGATCAACTGTATAATAAAATATGTCCATGTCAATTTTAAAAGATTAAGAAAATTCTTCAGTCTTAGGCCCCTCCCCTGATGTGTCTTACCATAATAAATGAGCCGAAACCAATGGTTTTCTATACAAGAGCAAAATCTCTGTGTTCCCTATCTCACATTATCTGATCAGATAGAACTATCAGATAGGTTCAAACAGAGGGGCTTGTGTTTCTAATCTTGGGTTGGAGAATGCCTTCCTAACTAAGAAATTAACAGAATTAACAATAACTACAACCTATGTGATTACATCAAAATATTCATACAGTGAAAATGTCACTAAACAAGGTTAAAAGATCAATGACAGAACAGAAGAATTTGCAACAACAATAAAAAAAACTAATGCTCATAAAAAATAACTTAGGAAAAAAGATTAATAAAGAAGAAGAGGAGGAAGAAGAGGGAAAGAAAAAGGCAATCTAATAAGTTAAAGAACAGAGCATAGCACTGGAGCTCACATTATCAGCTTAAAATAAACTGTTACATTTTATGTAAGACTTATGGTAACCACAAAGCAAAAGCCTATAGTAGTTACACAGGACATAAGGGAATATGAGCATAACACTACAGAAAATCATCAAATCACAAAGGAAGAGAGCAAGAGAAGAAAGAAACAAAAGAATTACAAGGCATCCAGAAAACAAGTTTGAAAATGGCAAAAAGTCCAATCTATCAATACTTATTTTAAATGTAAATGGACTAAATACTCCAATCAAGACATTGAATGGCTAAATGGATGAAAAACAAAACAATACCCAACTATATATCACCTATAAGAGACTCTCTTCAGCTTTAAGGATACACAGGACTGCCAGTAAAGAGATGGGAAAGAATGTTACATGAAAATGGAAACCAAAAGAAAGCTAGGATAGCTATATTTATATAAGACAAAATAGACTCTAAGTCAAAGACTGTAACAGGAGACAAAGAAACACATTATGTGATAATAAAGGGAGCAATCCAACAAGAGGGCATAACATTTGTAAATATTTATGCACCCAACATAGGAACACCTAAATATAGAAAGAAAATATTAACAGACCTAAAGGGAGAAATAGACAGCAATACAATAATACTAGGGAACTTTAATAGCCCCACTTTCATCAATAGATAGATCATCAAGACAGAAAATCAATAAGGAAACATTGGCCTTAAATGACACATTAGACCAGATGAACAGACATATCCAGAACATTTCATCCAAAGGAAACAGAGTTACACATGGAACATTCTCTGGGATATATCATATGTTAGGCCACAAAACACATGTTTAAAAATTTAAGGTGGAAAACATATTAAGCATCTTTTCTACCCACAATCGTATAAAACCTGAAATCAATTATAAGAAAGCTGGAAAAATCACAAATATGAGGAGAGTAAACAACCTGCTACTGAACAACCAATTGGTCAACAAAGAAATCAAAGAAATTTTAAAAATACCTTGAGACAAATGAAAATAGAAACACAGCACACCAAAAACTTAAGGGATGCAGCAAAAGCAGTTCTAAGAGGGAAGCTCAAAGTGATAAATGCTTACATTAAGAGGGGAAAAAAAAAGATCTCAAACAACCTAACTTCATACCTCAAGGAACTAAAAAAACAACAAATGCAGCCCAAAGTTAGTAGAAGGAAGGAAAAAACCAAAATCAGAACAGAAATAAATGAAATAGAGACTAAAAAGACAATAGAAAAGATCAATGAAAATAAGAGCTGGGGTCTTTTGAAAAAATAAAATAGACAAAACTTTAGCTGGACTCACCAAGAAAAAAAAGGAATAGGATTTAAGTAAACAAAACCAGAATTGAGGGGCGCCTGGGTGGCTCAGTGGGTTAAGCCTCTGCCTTCAGCTCAGGTCATGATCCCAGAGTCCTGGGATCGAGCCCCACATCGGGCTCTCTGCTCCGCAGGGAGCCTGCTTCCCCCTCTCTCTCTGCCTGCCTCTCTACCTCCTTGTGACCTCTGTCCGTCAAATAAATAAAATCTTTAAAAAAAACCAAACCCAGAATTGAAAGAGTAGATGTTACAACTGAAAACACAGAAATACAAAGGGTTATGAGACTGCTATAAGCAGTTATACACTAACAACCTGGACGATCTAGAAAAAAAATTCCTAGAAACATAAAACCTACCAATACTGAATCATGAAATAGAAAACCTGAATAGACCAATTACTAGTAAGGAGATTGAATCAGTAATCAAAAACCTCTCAACAAACAAAAGCCCAGGACTGATGTCTTCACTGTTAATTTCTACCAAATATTTTTATTTTTTTCATATTAATTAATTTATTTATTTATTTATTTTCTCACCAAATTTTTATTTAAGTTCTAGTTAGTTGACATACAGTGTAATACTGATTTCAGGAGTAGAATTTAGTGATTTATCACTTACATGCAACACAGTTGTTCATCATAACAAGTGCCTTCCTGATGCCAATCACCTATCTAAACCTACCCCACCCTCCTCCCTCCATCAACCGTCCATTTGGTCTTTATCATTAAGAGTTTTATGGGCCCCTGGGTGGCTCAGTTGGGTAACCATCTGCCTTTAGCTCAGATCATGATCTAGGTCCTGGGATTGAGCTCTGCTTCAGGCTTCTTTCTCAACAGGGAGTCTGCTTCCCTCTCTCTCTCTCTCTCTCTCTCTGCCCCTCTCCACTGCTCATTCTCTCTCTCTCTTAAATAAATTTAAAAAATTTTTAAAGAAGAGTTTCTTACGGTTTGCTTCCTTCTCTCCTTTTTTACCCTTCCCATATATTCATCTGTTTTGTTTCCTAAATTCTACATATAAATGAAATCCTATGGTATTTGTCTTTCTCTGACTAATTTATTTTGCTTAGCGTAATACACTCTAGCTCTATCCATGTCATTGCAAATGGCAAGACTTCATTTTTTAAGGCTAATATTCCATTATATACATATATCACATTTATTCATTCATCAGTTGATGAACACTTCTACCAAATATTTTTAAAAGAATTAGGATAGATCCTTCTCAAACTCTTCCAAAAAATACAATGGGGGAACATCACAAAACTCCTTTTACAAGGCCAGCACTACACTGAATGTTAAAAACACTAGAAGAGAAGAAAATTACAGAGCAATACCCCTGATGAACATAAATGTAAAAATCCTCAACAATGTATTAGCAAACTGAACACAACATATTAAAAAGATCATATACCATGATCAAGCAGGATTTATTCCAGGAATGCAAAGATGATTCAAAAAATGAAAATCTATTACTGTGTTAC